CGTACCTGCAAGCAAGAAGGTGATGAGACATGTATCCTTGGGAAGATATAGCCTTAAACGAGAACCTGAGGCTATAAACTAGTAAAAAATGAACATTAAAGGCACAAAATGTACAAACCCTCAGCAGCACAAAAATAGAAAACCATTCACATAGCACAGACCAATAAATGTCTCGCCAGCGAATTGGAGAGTGAAGCGATCCCACCTAGGTGTCTGAATGCGGAATTTTTTCCATAATTATATAATTACATATATATGTAACGACTAACCGACAAACAGACCAACATACAGTAATGTTTACGTTACTCTAAATCACATTCGAAACATTAAAATGCTCGCACCGCGTAATGTGCGCAAACCACGCGCAACATTTTTAACTGCTCGTGCTCGCTCGCTGAACAGTGCGTTACATTCCTCTAGTTTAGTTTCCATTTATGACTCTAAATGACAGATAGCTTAAAAAGGCATTCTTTGGGGAGGACTTGCTTATAGTCTCCACTGTTGGTTAAAGCTGGCCAAACTTTGTGACACAACAAAAAGGGACCTCTGCTAAACTACAGGTGAAGATCTAATGAATGTGTAGAAAGGCATTTTTGTAATGAAAAAGCTGCAAACCCTCGGCACACTAGAAACACACGCGCGGAAGTCTTTACACAGCTAATTGGTGTGATGGGCCGTGGTATCTTACAAGGTCGCTGAGAGTCAGTAATGGGCTAGCTACACTACTAGATAACAGAGTCGACACACGCCCCACATTACTACTTCTGGTGCCTCTAAGGTATGGAGAGCAAGGGCATCTGTTCGAGTGCTAATTTGCAACTATGTTTTTTCACTGCATTTTGGAACGCACCAGTTTCAAAGAAAATCATACTTATTACCCGACACTGAATACGTGGTATTGCTTGTAGAGTGATTGATAGCTCGTGAAGTGACATGTCAAGTAACGGACTGACACACACCAATGACAACTACCATAACCATCAGCGCATGTGCACCAAGGGTTAAAAATCCAAGGGTATTACCACTGGGATGATTGAAAATACATGTAAAATACGTACCTCTACTAATGCTACAGTTCTTCCAGCTCTCTGCAGAAACGGTAAAAACTGTTTAGCCTTTCCTGGGTCCTAAAAGGTTTTAATATCTGCATGAGTTAAACAGCAATGAAAAGCACTAAAGTGCAAACCCTCGGCGGAGACGCTCTCGCTCGCTAGAGAAGGGTTCCATGTAAGCAAGTTGAGTAAGACAGACCTACACAGCCTTCGGCGAAAGGCTGCCAAGTGAGGCACATCTTTGTGGCCATGTCAACAATAGACTTGTACTGGTAAAAATTCTCTGCAGAATTGTATCCTATGTGAGAGTGATACGTTACGGAGATTATACGGAATATCTCGCACATGCGCGAACAGATTGTGCCAAGCCGGCCCAAAACACTCTCAGGCGGAAGTACGCGCATGTGTTGTACTGCTAATTGATGGGTTGGGCCAACCGACTCATGGTCTCCTACCAAGTCGCTAAGAGTCGGTAATGGGCTAGCGACACTACCAGATAACATGCAAGAGTCGATACACGCCCCGCATTACAACCTCTGGTGCCTCCAAGGTATGCAGAGCAAGCACATCTGGTCGAGGTAAGCCCGTGCCAATTTGCGTAGTGGCTCTTTTTCATGCCGTAACTCTCACACAGCAGTTTCAAAGAAAACCCTACATACATTTCAACCTATACCCGACGCTAAATGTGTGATATTATTTGTGAGGCGATTGATGGCTCGTGAAGTGAGATGTTGGGTAACGGACTGACAGACACACACTCACACACAACAATTACAGTAAACCTCACTGCGCATGCGCACCGAGGGTTAATGAATGAGAGGATAACTCTGTACGTTCATACGTACATTCGATATTTCAGAAACACGATGAGGAATATGATCCTTCTTGCTATGAACACCTTTTCCATTTTTAACCGCCCTACAGAAAAAGAGGTAAAACGAAAGTATAACAATCAAATTTAATGGAGAAAATTCTAAGCTGATGTCAATTAGATAGATATTTTCTTGCCGACATTTTGCGTGCACAAACGTGTGTTGGAAAAACTGTGGCAAGTTTCAAAACACTACATATATCATACTAGTAACGAGTAACCAGCCCTAGCCCCTTCCATTTCACGTTGTATTGTGGCATTATGGGGGACAATTCAAATATGGCCATTAAGTTAGCTCACTCCTTTTTGCCCCCAAGGCTTATTACTGGTATTGACTAACTATTCAAACATTTGTAGAAATACGTATCACTGGTAACTAGACTTATATACATACGCACCTGGCCTCAGCTGCCATCAGTTCATCATACTGTGGGGAGCGTTGGTCATCATCCTGCTTATGACGCAAACAGCAAGCAAAACCTTTACTAATAAGGGCTTCTGCTATATTTCTGAAATGCCAGAAGGGAGAAAGCAGAAAATTTGGATATACACACTGCCTACAGTCTCAGCTGCATGCAAAGCGAGGGTTATAGAACTTCGTTAGTGTGTGTGTGTTTGTGATTGGGGAAAGAAGAGAGAGAGTAGGCAGGACTAAAGCTAACGAGAGAGGGTGGGCGGCTTTTGTCGGCGTCACCGCATGCAGCCAGCCAGGTGCTTAAATGTACATGTAAACATATCCACAAGTCCAGCAACATGTAGGTGCAGTGCTAGGTTCTTCGTCACCAGGGGTTCCCAATCTTTCACCATGTCACATGCGTTTCGGCCTCTTTAAACTCCCGACACGTGAGACACTACAGAAAGGGCGAGGCCACTCCACCTCCAGATTTGCCTACTACATGGGTACAATTATTTTACTTACAAACTAACCTACGTTACATAAAGGCAATTTTAGTATAGCAGCTACATATCCTTAGTAATAACATGTTGGTCTTCTCCATTCTTCACTTCTTTCTTTCTTCACTCTTGCTCCTAACTGAGCTATATACTACAGGCAAGCTTGGACTTTGTTGTGAATGTTATGTCTACTAAAGTCAAAACTTCCCATGCTGTTATTAGAGTGTGAGTGTGTGTGTGGGTGTGGGTGTGTGGGTGTGTGTGTATCTGACAGTTTTATGCCACCAGCAGTGCTCAGTATAATACTAGTGGAAATGTTGAACATTGTTGGTGAGCGGGAGCGACCCAACTTGGGATTTGCCCGCGATGTTTAGGCTGCATAACGTGCCGTCAGCGCACAGCTTTCCTTTCGTGAAGCAAGACAGATCTACCTGTCGCTGTAACATTGGCAGAACTGTGAGCAAGTGAGCAGAACGGTACTTACCTTATGCTTTCAGCGTGGTCCACCAGGCAGCTGGCATGCACCAGTATCTGCACGAGCAATCCTAATTTCCAAGTTGCACCTTCCAACCATGAAGAATGGGAAGCGGTACAGCCTCGGTTAGTCACCGAATGTTGCAGCGCATGCCGTCGAATGGAGGAGAGTTCTCTGGGTGGCTAGATCGATCGGCGCATATCGCGAGGCAGCGTGTGAAAATGCGTAAAAATTTGGAAATGTGTGATTTCGGAAAAAAAGAAGCGTGTAAGAAACCGCACTTACACGACGTACCAACGGACGATAAATATATTATATATACCAAAAAATCCGCTTGAACAAACGACTATAGGGAAAGGAAAGGTAACTAGCTTCAAAAAAGTATGGGGAATTTCGTGGTCCATCTCCTCCTTCACACCCATAACTTGAAAAATTGTCTGAATATAACCAGATGTGCAGACTTATGCTTGTAAACATTGTTGTTAACTATGAAAAGCACTAAAGCGCAAACCCTAGGCGCACTGGTACTGCTAACCGACGGGAGTATGAATTTACTCGTGGTCTCCACGCTAGTTGCTCGAGGAGAGTATGACACCTGCTAGCTACACTAGTAGATAACATGCGAGAGTCAATGTAGGCCCTTCTTTGTGTCTTCTTGTGCCACTAAGGTATATACAGTGAGCAGTCGAGGTATGCCCAGTATGATTTTGCATATTGGCTTTAAGCGCTCGAAAGCAGTGGTTTCAAGAGAATCACCAATTCCTCAGGCTCGAGTAGTTTTCAAGTCGTTGGTATTGTTACGTCCTGAAGAATCGCCAAACACACACACACAGACAGACACACACATGCGTGCCGAGGGTTAACAATGCATAGCCCCAGGCAATACATTTTCAAAGGCGCGCGTATCTCACGAATCTGAATCCAATCTCATCACTAGCATAACACAACAATACTCAATAGGCATATAAACTTTGTAAGGTGTATATCAAGTTACCTGTCACAATCAATTAACCCTCGGCACGCGCATGCGCAGCGAGGGTTACAGTAGTCATTCTGTCTGTCCGTCTGTTACCACGATTTCTGCCACCACGCACAACAAACAGGTAAAATAGCGACACCAGCAGGTTCAGCACTACACTAGCTTAATTTGCGACATTCGTAAAAGTGCCGCGTTCAGAAGTTATGGCGTGAAAACTAAGTGAACAAGCCAATTGCTAATTAGCACTGGCTTACCTCGACCTGATCGGCTTGCTCTGTGTACCTCGGAGGCACAAGAGGCTACAACGAAGGGCGTGAATCGACTCCCGCATGCTATCTACTACTGTAGCTAGCCCGTGTCAGACTCTCCGCGAGCTACTAGCGGGAGGTCACGAGTAAACGTATACTAATATAATACACCCATTCGCCGAGGGTTTGCACTTTAGTGCTTTTCATCATAATAATAATACTCAGGTGGCTGCCATAGCACTAGGGCCATAAGGGCCATAGACCACACACCCAGAGCAATGGGTGGAACCGTTAACAAACGAACATACACCATATGAACATGAGGTGTCTGTCTCACCTCCCAGACACCTCAACTCACCCCTTCCACCCTGCAGCTCCCCAGATGCAATCTGAGACTGGGTCTGTTGTACACCTAACCTTCCTTAGCTCCCAAATAAAACTTTTAACAAGGCCAAGCAATAAACCAAATTTATCCTCCCACAGCTCACTACCCAATATAAAGGATGCTTTCCTGAAACATTCAAGCGACTGGAAATGCTCAAATCCATCATCCCCAAGCTTCACCTGCAGGGCAATTAAGAAATTGCTCCTAAGACTACTATGTGCTGGACACTTCCACAACTACATGACTCACACTTTGACACTCATCATCACACAACAGGCACTCCTTCATACCCTCCCTCCCCCTATGCCTACCCAGTTCCTCATTTAGCCCATGCGTGCCTGACCCGAACTTAAACATTAATCTAGACCCAGCACCACTTTTCCCATGCAAGTACTTTTTGAACTCTACCACCTTGTTAATGTCTTATACAACAACAGCATTACTTTGCTATTTAGCACCTCTTCAAACTTTCTAATCTCCCCCTCATTAATACTGTCCCCTACTATAGACTGAAAGCCCTACAAGGAGCAATCCCCATTTTGAATATCATGCTACCACTCTGCCTCGTCAAGACCTAGATCACCAATGACCTTACTCCAACACTTCCTCTGCCTGACTCTCCGTGGCTTAAAATTCCATTCCTGGTTAAAAGCTTCTTCGGATACCTATTGCCTGGCAATGCCGCTAACTTATACCACCACTTCAACTTACTCTTATCCCTACGCCCTTGTAACGTATCAAGCCCCATATCCCCCCTAACGGCTTCATTACATGTCTTAGACGAACACCCAAGGATATGCTTAGCTGCAGCTGCCTGAGTCTTATTGGATTCCCACACCTCACTCCCATACTCTAAAGTTGGCCTAACCACCGCCAGCAACAACAACCTGGGAGCACTCAAATTAATATCCATATTACTAATTACACTATGCAACTGATTAACCTTCCTTCTACCATTGTCTAACACATTCTTGATATGCACATCCCATGCACCAGTACTAGTGAAATCAACACCCAAGTATGTTTATTTAGATACTTTAGGCAAAACATACTCCCCCCATTTCCAAGCACCATCCACTGACTCCCTAGCGAACACCATCACTGCACTCTTACTCACATTAGCCTTTAGCCTCCATTATCGACAGTAGGCATGCACCACATCTATAAGCGTCTGTAACTGATCCTTAGACTCACTAACACCAACGAAGTCATCTGCAAACAAAAGGCCTCCAAATCTCCCACCACTACTTAAATCGATCCCAATCTCACCTTCCTCCACCTCCCTCAACAACCCATTGATAAATACGGAAAACAAAATTGGAGATAAGCTACATCCCTGAGCTACCCCCTGTTCCACATCAAATGCCTCTGACCGTTCCCCATCCAACAATACAGCACTCTTTGAATACTCGTACATCTTCTTTATAACCCTCCACATCTTCCCTCTTACCCCAAATTCCCACAACTTAAACCACAGGCCATTGCGCCACACACCATCGCATTCTTTCGAAAGAATGCAGATGTCTCCTTCCCTCCTTTAGTCAACCCTGCACGAGTTCATTCAGCGTATAAATATCATCAACACAACCCCTTCCAACCCTAAAAACCAGCCTGGCCCTCATGCAATGCTTTGCCCTCGTCCAGATGCTTCACCAACCTATCGTTCAATACCATACAAAAGACCTTCCCAACCACACTCAGCAGAGTGATGCCCCTATAATTCCCAGGATCCTCCTTATCTCCCTTCTTAAACAGGTTAACTATGACGCCCTCCCTCCACCGTGGTGGCACAAACTCCTCACGCCAAATTACTGTAAACAACTGTTTAAGTAACTCTACCATCCCTGACCCACCATACTTTAAAAGCTCCCCCACAAGCCCATCACTACCACCAGTCTTATTATTCTTCAACTTTCTAACACACAATCCAATTTCCTCCAAATCTATATCCCCTATCCAACACATTTCCCACACAATCTGTTGGAAACTCACACACTTTCCTCTTTCCAACTATCATCAAAGGCTGTATCAACACTACAAGTGCCCAACTGCTGATAATGCCTCTTTAACACTTCTAGATACTAGTCACTGACACCCCAGCACTATTCCTCAAAGCTTCCTCTCACCCTTTGTCCTTCTACCGACAAATGCCCAAAATTCTTTCCTATTACCTTCATAATCTGAATTTGCTCTTTCCACTACCTCATTCCAAACCTCAAGCTTCTTCTGAACAACACCTCCCTACTCAGTTTACTATATTCCTCCCATAGATAATCCTGACCCTCAAGAATTTTCTTGTCTTCTCTGTTCTATCTTCTGCTTAATCTCATCATCCCACCACCTGACTGCCCTGCCACACACTACTACCTTCTCTCCTACCTCAGCCCTTGCCACCTTTTTTACAACCTGCTGCCACTCCTCTACAACAGCACTGACTAACCCACTTCCGCTAATACCCTCACTCACTTTCTCCTTGATGCTCTCTGAAAATGATTCAACCTCCGCTTTCAAGGCCTCACTATACTTTGCTCTAACCCCCTCATCCAAAAATCTGTCTACATGCAACTTCCTTATTGTCCGCTTCTGCCTTTCACAACACTTTGTAACCCGGCCCAACTCCAGCCACAGTAGAAAATCATCCGAGGCACCAATATCAGTTATATTAACCTGTACATGACCAGATTCCCTCATCAACTGCATATCCGTAACTATATAATCTATCACTGATTTCTGCTGTAGGCTCGGCCTTACTCTAGTCCACTCAGGCTCCGACACTAACTTCCTACCATTACATATCACCAGCTCCACCTCATTCAAGAATGAAATCAGCCTATTTCCACTGGCATTACAAGTCTCCTCTTCAAACATCCCAATGACATCATCAACATTAGTAGATCTACCCACCCTCGCATTAAAATCACCAAGAAGAACAACCCTCCCCTTCTGCATGAATCCAAGCACATCCTCCTTCAACTTGACGTAACTATCCGCCATAACATTAGCACAAGCACTATCTGTAGGCATGTAAATACAGCACACATACAATGCTTCCCTCCCTCTCCCACCTCGAACCTTCATCCACACACTCTCCTCATACCTGACTTTACTTACAAACTCTACCTCATCTATCAAGCACTCCCGAACCAAGAACCATTGCTAACAGAAAAAATGACAAAAGGTAGGAGAAGGCCAGGGCCAAAGCTAAGCACAAAGAGAGTCCTGAGGACTAAAGCCTAGGGTGAAGGAGAATGTTCTAACATTATCAGAGCTGAAAACGCGTGAAAATCGTGTCTATTCTTCTAGCCATGAATGATGTGTGTGTAATGGAATAATTGGTATACTGCACGATATCTCTATCTTCCTGAACTTATTTCCTCATTTCACTTTTGATAACAAGAAGATCACGAGTAGCAAGCAAATACTCACATATCGTCTCTGGTGAGAGTGCAGCATACTTTCTCAGGAAAGGAGTCTTGTGCTGGCTTAATGTAGTCAATTCTCACATTCACCTATTATTGAAGTGCAAAAGGTTTTGCATAACACAAGAAAAGGAGAAAGCAGACAGAATACATAAACTGAATATAGTTAAAACCACACTTCATCCTGTAGCCACCTGCCTAAACAGAGGGTGATATGGGGTCTGTCTTTGCTTTGTAGAGACTGAAACTTGAGCTACCGAAGTAGCTCAGGCGGTAGAAAATCTACCTACACTGCTTAGAGTCACGGTAAAAGTCGAACAGCTTATTTTGTTGGGGTCTTAGGTGTCTTTGATTTGTTTTCTCTCTCATCAGGATTCTAACACCGCAAAAATTGTTGTTAAGCTGGGTGTTCGTCCTTTGTCAGCAGTGGTGAGTGGTCGCTAAGAGAAGGAACATGCCTAGAAACTGTTGCTATCACCTTTGCTAACTGTTCTTCGGCTTCACTTTTGGGTGTACACTACTTAAACTATGCAGGGCACGTTTTGTACAAAGGGTCAATCTGCAAGCAGTTCGTCCTGTTTACATAGAACTGTTTGAGCGGAGGAGCCATGCTCTCGGAATCGACCACCACTAGCTACTGTTTGCTTGCTTGATTATACACATGGAGCAGCTCTTTTTTGCTACTTTATCTGGAGAAGGGGTTGTGTGGAGCCGTCATGTGGCATGGAAAAGACACTTGCAATCTTCTCTCTGAACATGAAAGGCTTTGAAATGAACAACACTGGCGCTCCCCTTATATATGTGGAGTCCCAGGGGTGTTCTGAATATGAATTCATAAAACATGGCAACTGCACACTTACCTTTTTCCCTATCAGTTTCTTCCTAAGACACTCTCTTGCTTCCCACATATAAGGTATATCATACAATGGACGTGTCCTCTGCTGTGGTCTACGTGCAGTACCAACATTTTCTTCTTCCTTCGGTGCTTGATTTGTAGTCCTACAGTGAAATAATACCTATAACAAAGACTGTAGTTTAAATCTGGTCAAGAGGTAATTTAAAGAAAATTATTGTACCTACAAAAACATAGGTAAACATGTAGTCACCACGAAAATGATGTTATACGCATGCATACCAAATTTAGTACCGCTAGCAAGTTAGAGGAGTGAGGGAAGAAAATTGCCTTAGGCTCTTTGTTGTTGTTTTATTGTCATGAGTTTGATGTTGGTGATTGAATGCATTATGTAGACAGAGTTTCGTTCACAAAGCTCTTACTGTTTGTGAATTACCCTAAGCCATGAGTGCCCCTTAAATGTATTGGTGGGTTATTTGTTGTTGTTTACAGTAAACAACATTGCTTAGACACAAAGAGGTATGACCATGAAATTATAGTTCATAGCATACAAACCATAGGTAGATAGATAGATAGATAGATAAATAAATAAATAAAAACCACCACCAACATATATCAACAAACCCCAAAATATCACACATACACAAGTACACATGACATGACATGAGAGCAGGACACTGGGTGCCCAGCCTTGAGAACCGGGGCGGTGGGTTAAAGATTCTTTTATGGCTAGCCAACTCTCCCCACACACCCAGTATCCAAACTCCACATCACAAACAATGACAGCCACACAGTGAGTAACTGTACGATAGCACAGTCACGACAACACATGTAGAGTATGATACATATAAAAAACATAGATGGTACAAAAATGAAACTGGTAGCATTGTAGAAAAATAGAAAAATAGAATCTAGCTTACTTACTGGAGTGGTAAAAACAAGGTACTCACTTGTAGCAGTAAAAACATGGTAGAAAAATATAGAATGGCTTACTTGTAGCGGTAAAAATGTGGCAGAAAAATAGAATCTGGAATAAAACGACATACTTACTTACGCAGTAAAAACTTGGTGCACTATCGTGGTTCCTATTAGTGCCGACCCACGTAGTGCACTGCGGTTATAATTATTTGTGACTTTTTGCAAACCTTCTAAATGCTTTACATAGCTCCGCATATCTAATTTTTGTGTGAGTTTGTAATGTCGCTCACAAAATTGCTCATAACCACTGCATATTCTACCTATACGTACAAGTTATATATGTTGGGGACCAATTAAAAACCCGGCCCATTTTAGAGCCATCCGACGGCTTTAAAACAGGCCGGACCGCTTTAAAACGGGCCAGACGGCTTTAATTCCGGCCCGACGGTTTTTCAAGCCGCCCCGATGATAAGCCAGACGGTTTTTAAGCAGACACCGGCAGCAGTGTCCTACCATGCCAGCAGCTGTTGTTCCAGCCAGCGGCCTTGCGAGCGCTGTCGTCTACTGCGCCCAGCGGCAGCAGAGAAAACAAACGAGGACGGGCTGAGCAGGTGATCGCAGGAGTAGAGTCACGTACCGCCGCGCACACGTGCGCGATCGATCTTGTGCACATGGCCGTGACAGCTAGCCCTGGGCGGGATGAGTGTCAAAGTTCGCGGCCGACTGCTGAGGTAGATCGCAAAATCAGGGCTGGACAGTAGCAACTGGTAGATAGGTTGCTTCTTCCTGACGGCCTTCAATCAAGCTGGACGGTTATAAAGCTGTCTGGACGGCTTTAAAAGCGGCTGGCCTGTTTTAAAACCGCCTGGACAGCTTTAAAACGGGCTTCTGGCTTTTAATCGGTCCCCAACATATATACACCATAAGCTGGTTTAGATGGGATGTTAGAACTCATATTTACTATGTCAAAGTGAAAACTATCCCTCTTATCATACACCATAGTAGAATATTTCCCATGTTCTATAGTAATAAGTATATCTAGTGTAGTTGGGCTCTCTGGAGTTTTCTTGAGCTGAAGCTCAGAAGCATATATGTCCTGTATGGCGTCATTAAATTGGATGTTATTTAGTATAAGAAGGTCATCTATGCACCTCATTGTATTGTTAAACCTCCTAGCCATGAATATATTGTTCTTTATCAAGCTTTTCATGTACCAGTACTCGTAAAAGAACAGGAACAGATTGGCCAATAATGGAGCACATAAATCCCATTGCAATACTGCCTGAAGTGGTTAACGATTGCATTTAGGCAACTTGTAAACAGTCTTGAAAGAGGCTTAGTAGTACAGCTATAAGACGCAGCTATAACCATGTGAAAACTATGAGGTAGAAAGGCAAAGGCACAACAAACAAATCAACTACACCTAGGACAGCTCTTCCCATGCACATCTGGTTATGGATATCTACATTTTTTCATAACAATAGGCTACTTTTTGAGTTAATCTGCAGAACAAGGAAAATAAGAAAAAATTAGAAAAATATAGCCCCATACATCTATGATGCTAGGCACCCTGCTTACCTCCAAATACTAAGCACTGCCGTAATTAGTGAAATGCACGTAACAATGGCAAAGACAATGCAAACAAAACTCACCGGAAAACACTTCTTCCAAAGATATATAAATTAAGAGCTGCACTACGTGGGAGTTAAATGCACGGCACTTCATTCAGATTAAACAACCACAACTCAAAACAACATACAGTAATGATATTTTGTAAGTATACAGATATCCATCACCCGAAGAGACTGGTCATACTTATATGACAACATTGTTAACTGTAAACAATAACAAATAGCCCCAGGCAATACATTATAATGGGATCACATGTCAAACAATTACACTTTTAACAATACTATTCTGGTATCTTCAGAAATACTGGTGTTAATATTTTGGGGTATTAATAATGATAGAAAATGCCTTTGAGATGCTATTACCGATAACTAAAACAGGTAAGTGTTTCTGGAACACCGACAATAAGTATGAAACTACTAAAGCTCAGCTGATATACGTACGTACACGATATGTATTAGTTAACGTATAGGCGGCGAGGCGGTACAGGAGATACTCCGAGGCTGTTGACTATACCGGACGAGGGCGTAGCCCGAGGCGCGGTATAGTTAACAGCCGAGGAGGATTTCCTGTACCCGCCAAGACGCCTGACGTTAACTGATTTGTAGTCCAACTAGCCAATCACAATGCTGAATTTCTGCTGTGTCATCTTGCACTAATGTACTATGGACTGTTGTGTAAACTTTGGAAGCCAGACAATTTGCACTACGCCTAGCGCTAGATGTTGTGATAAGGACTTCCTGTCCAATACTGATACCAGTGCAGCCCGCAGCCCACAGCTCAGAATACAGCGTATATTCCTAGCACCGGGTTGTTTGAAGTTGGACTACAAACTATCTTACTGACAATATTATGATCAGTAGGTAATAGGGTGTACCATCAATGCATAGGTATACCTATGGGTATATACCGATTTTGCGCCTTTATTGGCGTATTTCAATTAGAATACATATATATGTCGCGTTCTATGGAGAAAATGTAACCGTCCGTACTTAGAGCGGAGCTGCAAAGCGAGGTACCGGGGCATCACACCCTCCCTTTTTCACACGTGCATGTGCACTCTGCTAGCACATGTAGCGCCAGCCGGCCATGGCATACACGAAAATCTTTGCTGTCATTCCTCCGCAAAAGAGGTCAAGACAAGAAAGCATTGACTGACTGACAACTAACGGCGAGGAGATCAGCGTGTCCGATCGTTCCTGACTCAAGCGTGACTTCAAGTAGCGATACAACAAGTAGGGACACTTCTGCCGCTGTTTTTACGCGTGAAGGGAAGCACAAATTTGGATACGACACGAAATGGAACCAAGAGTTTGACTGGCTCGAGTACAGAGTCGACGCAAAAAGTGCTGTATCGTACGTTGTGTTGCAAGTGTAACGCACACACATGCAACAACTCGGGCAGATGATAAATGAGCCATGCTTACATCTAAGGATAGACAAAGTTGTAAAGCATTCTAAGTCTGAGGCTCACCTGACCGCAGTGGAAAAAATGTTTACTGCTACGGATGGTGGAAATGAATAGGCCTTTGAGAAAACGTTCGAAGTACAAAGGTGTGCACAAGTCTGCAGATACTCTACTGGCTAGCTAAAAATGAGATTGGCCATTTCACTAAATTTGAGTCTCTGCGTAAGCTATGTGTGGATTTAGGATGTAAATCTCAGTGGCTCGAAATGTGAACTACACATCACACAGGATTATGGCTTGACGTTATCGACGATGAGATTTGCTTAACAGGGGGCCGTAAGTGTCATTCAGTCGAACTAATGCGTGATGAATCTACAGATAGTTCCACAAAGGATATGACCTACTTAACGGGCAATGAATGTCAGAAATTTCGAACGGTTTTCTCTGAAACTGTTCTGTTGCAAAGCTAGAGCACGAAAAAGCCAATATGCAAATTCGCTTACCACAGTCTGATCGATCCGCGTGCTCTGCGTACCTCGGAGGCACCGGAAGATGCAATGCAGGGCGTGTATCGCCTGTCGCATGCTATATAGTAGTGTAGTTAGCGCGCGTCAGACTCTGCGCGAGCTAGCAACAGACCACGAGTAACAGCTAAAACTAAACCAAGCCCATCAATTAGTGGTACTGCGCATGCGTTTACTTACGCGTGTGCGTCAAAGTGCCCTGAGGATTTTCACTCCAGTGCTTTTCATTAGATCCAGCACTCCTTCCCTCGCTTAAGAGACTATGGTACAGAGTATGTGTCAGAATTGGCAAAACACTTTCAACTTGATACCTTCACTCTCCAACAAGAGTGGGCAAGTGACTCAACCTACCCCAGACTCTATATCCTCTTTTTTCAAGGTTTGCTAGTTGCCGAGCGCGTTAGCGTGAGGCAACTACTCCGGGTTGTATTCTCGCGATATACGTACGTACGTGTCCGTCACGCTTAAGAATGTCAATTAGTCACGCTTAGGGAATGTCACGCTTAAGAATGTCAATTAGTCGTGCTTAGGAATGTCAACTTCCGTCATTCGTAGGAAGTCTAGCTTCGCGCGCGCACGAGCGGCCCCAGTCAGACTGTTTACGCATTGGCTGGCAGGCGCGAGGCAAAATATGCGCGTGCGCATTCCTAGTATTGCTATGATCCTGTCTGTTACTAATGCAGACTCAGAGAGTGGCTTCAGTTGTATGAACAGGGTTAAAACCACTCTGCGTAACAGGTTAACTGTGTTATCTCTTTTACACAAATTTCAATAGAGGGTCCTGAACATACATCTTCTGACTTTCAAAGAGATGTACTGTGGTCATCAAAGAGGCATCGCAGGATTTTTGAGTAAAGTATTTAAGTAGATGTTGTTTTTACTCTATACACTCAACAAAGTTTGGATCCCCCTACTATAAGCTTCTGCGGGAAAACTGACTGTCACCAGACCCTTTTCCTAGAGAGAGAGAGAGAGAGAGAGAGCGAGAGAGATCTTGCTACGTGAGGCTACAGATGCACCAAGAAAGGAGTGCACTTCCGCGTGTCTCCTGTACATCATGTTACTTGACACACCTGACTTCATCAATTAGCTTCTGTGTGTATATATGTATGTTAGTACTAGTGAGGCCAGGTCAATGCGCGGCACATTCGTCATGTGCCTAGAGCTCTGCCTGGGTACACCTCACACCTCATTGTTTGTTTGTTTGTTTGTTTGTATATTGAAGAGTTTTACACACGAGAGAGAGAGAGAGAGAGAGAGAGAGAGCGGGGTCTGGGCACGAGACTAATAGGGGTATGACACAATCATGTGTCAGCAATTTTTGTTGATTCAGCACCGCAATGTGTATGTAAAACTCCCTTTATAAGTTTCGAGGAATTTTGGAGTTACGTACCAGCTACCTTCGATAGAGATATAATTCTGCAGTTCCACCTCGTTTTGTTTTCTCGCTAGCGCTGTTGAAAGCAAACACATTATTTCACCCTTCCTTGTTAAATTCCCAGTTAGAAACGTGCACACTTACTAACAGAAGGCACTGAGGCTGAGAGGTGCACACTTACTAACAGAAGGCACTGAGGCTGAGAGGTTCTGCTCCTCTGCAGGTCTGTCAACTCGCCTGGTTATACGCGCGCACAGTGCATTGGACAACGCCTCTGCCTGGTGCATGCGCGCAGCTCACTGATGCTGAGTTAGCAGCAAATGGCGTTGTTCAGTGTCGACCATGGAAGAGCTCCATGATCTACCGTAGTGGCTAGCGGCAAGAAAGAAACGATGGCTTGATGTCCATGCACACCTCCGGCGAAATTGGGGACGTTCAGTGAACAAAGCAGCGGTTCAACCGGTACTGGTAAGGAGATAGCGGGTTTAAAGAATAATATTATGATGACACGAAAATCGTGATATCACGTATGAGCGAATTCTCGCGTGGACAACTGAAGGTGCGTATGAGGTCTTTGGGAACATGTATAGGTAGATATGGGCCCGTAGAATACTGCTAGTGTGTTTTGAAGGACTAGGGAGTCATTCTCACCGAGTTTTTAGTTGTTTTGTACGCGGATCACGTGAGATTTCACCCGTTCCATCCCTATATAGAGAGTCTACCGACTCTCTAATATAAAACACCCTAGGTGAGGTTCAACCCTCAACACACTGTTCTCTAGATGAGTGTTCAACCACTGAGTTACAAATGTGGGTCAGTAGGATAGGCTCAAAGGCTGCAATACAAGGTAAAAGCAAACCTCAAACTCTGTGCAATAGCATAGAAACTATTCACTTACACATTCGAAAGCAGTAAAATTCACGAACATTTTAGAACTGGTTTAAGGTATCAAACATTCACAACAAAAACTTCTCTATACACAATCAGGTCTAGTGATAAATACCAAGACATTTAGAGAACCCTACCTACCAAAGTATGAGTGATTAGTCATTACTGACCTTGGTGGTCTAAGACTGGAGAACCAGATCTTTTGTAACTGCTGTTCACCTCTTTTAATTAAAAGAGAATCACCATTAACCACTTCAATGACCTTTCCAGAAAACACAAGAGAGCCTTGGGGCAAAGTAGCAATTGTTGCAGGTTTGTAACCTTTCCAAATTCGTATTTGCTGCTGTTTGGCTGTCCTATAATATTTCAAAAGAGTATGAACAATTTGTAAGAACACAATGCCTCAAAATGTGCACAGTCATTTTTTAAATAACAATTCAGCGACGGAACGAAAGTGTACAAACACGAGCCCATAGCATGACCCCCCCGTGAATTAAATGATGCGAATGAGACATTTCGGCCAGCATACATGCCGTCCCGACCAACTGTCTGCTGTCCGCTACCGTCAATTGTGAAGTGCTTGTAAGAACGCCAGAGAACTCGACATGGCCCGTCGTACAGGGGCTGTAAAGGTTTCCGCACTGCGTCACGACGGACAAGACAAAAACATGTGAGCATGTGAAGAGGTCATCACTGACGTACGTTTGGCGATGGTTTGGACGTCAGGGTGACACTGCTTGCAGTCGTTGCATGGGGGATTTGAGTTGTACCACGTAGGCAGCATGCTCTGTGCACAATTGTTGTGTCGCTGTTGTGAAACACTCTCCTGGCAGTCGTAGAGTAGTACCATAGACCAACACTGTTGAAGTACAGTTCAGATCCTGTTGGGGAAGGCTGTTCGTATGTCTAACAGTACCAATGGGAGTGAGTCTGCCCAGCGAGTCGGCTCTGGTTGCACTTTCAATGCCGCCTTTAGTTGTCCATTAAATTTCTCAACGAGGCCATTTGTGAACGGGTGGTAGGAGGTTGTGCGCAATCGGCGAGAACCGAGTAAGTGTGTTAGCTGTGTCCAGAGTGTAGATTCGAATAGACAGCCCTCGATCGGTCGTAATAGTGGACGGGGTGCCAAACCAAGAAATCCATCCGCTCATGCATCAGATTCAGCTGTTATCTGTGTCTCATAGGAATGGCCTCTGGCCAGCGTATGAACCTGTCGATGCAGGTAAGGATGTATGTAAAACCTCTGGAAGGTAGAAGTGGCCCAACGATATCCACATGCACCATGTCGAAACAGTCGTCAGGGGTAGCAAACAAAGAGAGAAGTGCTATTGTGTGCCGGCGGACTTTCGAACGTTGGCACGCTAGGCAGGACAGAGTCCACATGCATACGTCAGCCTTCATACCTGGCCAGAAGTAGCCGTTTGTGACCAGATATAAGGTTGCCTTTACTCCCGAGTCCTGGGCCATAATCACTCAGATGCTGGAAAACAGCCCGGAGATGCTGCTGGTGCTCTTGTGGCGTGGGACTAGCGATAAGGAGGTCGTCTATGTAGGTGTAACAAAAATTCCAACCACTGAGCACCTGATCAATGAAGTGTTGAAAGGTTTGGGCAGCATTGCGGAGACTGAATGGCATTCGGAGGAACTCAAATTAGCCAAATGGTGTAGTTGTGGTTCGACAGGGATCTGGTGATAGGCCCGCACAAGGTCTATCTTGGAGAAGATATCGCTGCCAGCCAGTGTGGTAGTGAAATCCTGTATGTGAGGGACGCCAGTCTCTATGTGTCTTCTTTGCGACCATGTGCAGCGGAGAGAACCATTTGCTTGAGGAGGGCAGTATGATCCATAACTCCAGCATAATTAATCTGAGGTAATTAACGCGTGGATAATTAATCTGAGGTCATCCGGTGAAGAAAGCCATCCATGCCAGCGCTTATGCGCTCATAAACTCCAGCATATGGTCGAATTAGTGTCGTGCGACGCGTAGGCAGTCGGGGCCCAATCGTCGGGCCGGTACGGAGACTGGTGGAACCGTAGTTATAATGTGATGGGGCACATTGTGCTTGACGGGAGCATTAGATGTGCACGGTCGTGTGATCGAAGGAAATTCTGCCTGGAGGGTATCTTAGGGGCTTCCGTGGTAGGATCGCGGGACTGGGAGACTTGGCATTACAACTAATGCCTTGGATTCGTAGCGCTGTTAGTCCATAGGAGAGCTTGTGGTTTCGCATATCAACAAGACGACTGAAGTGCCGGAGGAAATCGGTGCTGAGAATTGGGTGCTGGACATTTGCAATCACAACGGTACGTTCGACGTAGTCCAATATCAAGTATCAGGGACCTCCTGCCATACATGGCTATAGATGTGATCGCTTGCAAGGTGAGGTGATCCGCTTGCCTCTATCGTTCGACTTGGGAGGGAGGTATGACCGCACCCGTGTCCACCAGGAGGCGTGTGGCTGTAGGTTTGTCACTAATGTAGAAGAGGCGACTAGGAGACAGGCCGACTCATCACCGCTAGTGACCGGACTGATGTGTGTCCCGATCGCGAACACGGCAGTCTGCCGTTTCATGCTGCTTTCCCCGAAGCGCTCGTGATACCAGCAGAGTGTCTTCTGGGAGGACGCTACGATGGTGAATGGCGAATGGCGAATGGCGGGTATCTTTAGAAGAGAGGGAGGCCACAACGTCAGCTAGTAGTAGTAGTAGGTCAACTTCCGTAGAGGCGTCGGTCGCAGTAGGGTTAATGGCTGTGATAGAAGGCGCTGCCTCAACGATGCAGTCAGCAAGCTAGCCAAGCTTTAGTGTCCGCAGCAGAGGCGAGGACCATACGCACATTTGCAGCCAGGCGCTCGAGGAAAAGTTCGCGCACGAAAGCGTCGTCCATGGCCGCAGCCATATCTCCCAGCAGCTTTTACATTCTTCGTAGCAGCTGTGAGGGCTTTCAGTCGCCGAGCTGTTCCATCGTCAGAAGTTGTTGAAAACGGCATCATTCGGATGCTGCCGTATGGCGGACGAGTTGCTTGCGGAAATTATCGTACAGCTGGGCCTCGGGTGGGTGTAGGACGAGGTCACGGAGCTCCGTCGGGAATTCAGGCCGAAAGTGACACGACGACATAGTCAAAGATGGTCTTCTACTGCGTAATGCCAAGGGTGGCAAACTTAGCCTCTACCTGAGCAAACCACACTTCAGGGTCCGATGGCCAGAAGGGAGGCAGTTTTGAGGCTGACCGCCTCGACTCTGGTGGTTTACGTTGTCTCTGCGTCGTCGGTCATCAATTGTTAGCACCCTGCCAAGCAGTAGTTAGGACTACTGTCAAGTCCATTTGCTCATCAAGCACAAAGACGGAATAGAAGCACCTATATATACGTCACAGCACTTAAAAACCCTCTTGAAATGCTAGATGACAGTCGCAGCATGCACTACGTAATAAGCACGTGAAAAACCGATGTGTTGGCTAAAATACCTCTCGGTGTTTCGCATTCTTAAAAAGCACAATCCTAGAAAGTTCGAACAAATTCATCGCTCCGTTTTCAAGCTTTACTCGCTTTTTGTTCCAAACACGCAACAGACAGAGCGGTTTTTACTATGTACACGCCCCCAATTCCGCATACTTGACTACATCACAGAGCTGTAATTAGTGCAAACCTTCGGCGAACTGCGGTACCACTAATTGATGGGCTAGGCTAGAATCATGCGTTGTCTCCCTCCCGCTTGTAGCTCGCGGAGAACCTGACACGGGCTAGCGACAGCGGGAGTCGATACACGCCCTTCACACCCGGCACTTGTTAATAACACGTGATGGTGCTGTTGAAGTATGCATCCGAGGCTCTCGACTCGAGCGACTGTGAGGAGCCAGAAACAGACTCGGGACGGGATCAACTAAAGTATACGGATACTGTGGGAGTGGGGAGAACTCTTTTCATGTGTGTGGGTGCATGTCTTGTTAGCATGAATGTACTGTTAGCATAGCAGGTGTATAGACTTAGGAGCATGCGTAGTGTGTGCATCGGTCATGTTATGTGAATGTCACGTGGTCACCCTTGTATGCACTCAGTAACTATCTAGAGACAGACTAAAGTGTGTGTGCGCTGTCTGTGGGTCGTGTGTCGACCGGTCTATGTTGCACAAGTATAATAATAGTTGGTAGAGTACTACGTGCGTCGGAGCACCTCTATCACAGATACGTGTACCTATTCTGTGTTCTCCTGCCCTGTGCTCACCTTTCCATCCGGAGCTGAGACAGGACACTTGGCTGACACACTGTACTGGATGGGGTATGTGTACTTCTCACTCTCCTGTGTTCCCATCCCTCTCTGTCACTCTGGACTGGTTGAAGACAAGTTGCCCAACTGAGTTCGCCCTCGCTACCTGGTGTATGAAATAATGCAGCTGTCTGGACGACCTGATATCGCAGTAATGCGCACTTGCGCAACGGCCATCGATGCATGATGTTACGAAATTTTGGCGGGAAAAGTGCGGGAACCATGTCTCTCTTGGAACTCGGGCCTATCACCTTCGGAGGCACTCCAGCCATCATTACCTTCTTGCAAAGGAAAAATGTTCTTGTCAGCAGCAATGTGGATGCGGCACTACGATGAGGCTGCAAGAGAGGTTAGACATCAATGATGGTTGTAATCGGCGATGTCCTGACTGTAAAAAGGCAGTCAGCATTCAAAACGGGAGCAAAGTCGAAGATCACACTCCAGAAGTGCCTTCTCCGCAAGCATTGGTGGTCTCCACAGTATAGCGTAAAGGATGCAACGGCCATACAAATCTATGCCTGGTTGAGAGATGTGTGCAGCTATCGGTTGTGCACAATTGATCCTCCAAAAACACTTGGTGGACAGGGGGCAGTTGTGGCAATCGATGAATCTTTGTTTTCTCATAAGCCAAAGGTAGTGATGAAAATTTAATAAAATTTTTTTAAATTTCCACTTACAGTACCACAGAGGCAGACCAGCAGATGAACCAGTATGGGTGTTTTGTATGTGTGATACAAGTGTCAGATCTGCCCTTGGTTATATGGAGATAGTAGATGCAAGGGATACAGCCACACCACTTCCCATCATACAGAACCACGTACAGCCAGGTACAGTAATCTGGTCAGACAGTTGGGCAGCATACAATGGTATGGCACAGTTACCGGGTATCCAGAGCCACAACCACTCAATTGAGTTTACTACTCCCACTGGTGTGCACACAAACCTTGGAATAGGGCAAAGCTGAAGCTGAAGAGAATGCGAGGATGCCACAGATCCCAACAGCCTTCCTTATTTAGACAAACTTATGTGGGGGAAAGGTTTGGGCGGAAATTGACCAAGTTCTGGAGAACTGGTTCCCAGTTTAATGGTCTATACGGATTCCAGCCTACTAAAGAGACACACAAACCAATCTCCATTTATATAGCTACCAACTTACAGGCTATTGCACTTCGGTTATATATCACTTTTCCCTTTCCAATACGCCTCTCCAGTCCCTTATACTCTGACGATGATTTTTACTTCTCCGACCTGACAGTTTGACCTCTACATACGAGTGTTAGCAAGTACGATGCATAATAATACATGCGTTTAGCGCGTTTGATACACACGGGTCCGTATATTTTAGTTGATCCCAGTTTCGCCCCCACGCAAAATACCCTGCCTTGAAGCAGAACAAGGTCCTTCATCTTTGACCGCTACGACAATGAGCAGTGGCTGCTAAAAGCAGTCGAGAAAGTTCAATCTCGCTTGGATGAGAGGAAGGAAGCAGTGGCTCGTTTACAAACCCGAGGGTATGTACTGCTTGCTGTGTCAAAATTATTACAAGCAGCCATAAAATCGTGACATATGGAATAAGCAGCCATGTAGCAGGTTCCGCTTGCAGAGCATCAAACGCCACGAGTGTAGCACAGCACACAGGAATAGCATAAAGATGGAGCAATCAGCATGTAGGGTGCAAACCTGCAGTAGGGTGCAGTCCTGCAGTTCCTATGAAAGCGTTCGTTTGTTTGTACTTTCGCACCAAACAACGAATAGCTCATACAACCAACTATGAACCGCTGTTAGATTTAGTGGGTTTTTTTTGGCAATCACACAATAGGGCAGATTAGAGAGGCCAGGAATGCTACCTACACAAGTGAAAAAACAATTCAAGAGAGGGTGTTTGTTACGTCAGAAAAGATATTGGAGGACATGAGGCAATCTTGTCACTTCTCCTTGCCCTTTGATGAAACAACTGATTTTACAGTGACAGAGCAGCTTGCAGCGCATGGATGTTACATTAGCTCTACTGGGGAACTGAAATGTTTTTATCTGAAAACAATTGATCTGCTCCAACCTGAATCACTGACTGGGTACTAGAATTTATGGCCGAGGCTAAGCTTGACCAATCTAAACTTCGAGGCATTGGAACAGATGGTGCTTCTACTAAAAAAATGGGTGGTTACACGCCTTAAGAACCTTGTCATCTGCAATTAGTGTCCATTGTGCAGCCCACAGACTGAATCTGGCCTCTTCTCAAGCAAGCAACTCTGTTCCTCGTGTTAAAAATTTCGTATCATTCGTTAGCTCTTTGATTTTTTCAACAATAGTGCAGTTAGAACTGCTGGACTAGTAGTAGAGGTAGTGCAGGCTCTGTTACATGAAAGTGGCAAGCTCATATGTACTACAAGGTGGAGAAGTGTGGATCATTGCGTCAATCATTTTAAAATCAATTGTTATCAGCTTGTGGCGAGAGAGTGAGGAGCGATCTGATACTCGGGCACTTGGACTAGTTGGTTTGATTTGTGAATTCAGATTTGATTGCGCTTCTCTGTGACACACTACCACATGTTTCCCATTTGTCCAAATGCTTTCAGATACAGGATTGTGACTAGAGTATTATTCCTAAAATACTTTCTTCTACTGTTGCATGCCTGGAGCAACTAAAAACAACTGATGGTACAAATCTCACAGGCATTCAGACTTTCTACAGGAAGCTGATATAAATATTTCAAAGCCACCTAATTTGGCAGACCAATATTCCAATGAAATAATGAAGGAACCTTATCTATACATTTTGATCCTTAACTTGAAGAGAAGGTTTGATGACAAAACCACAATATGTAGCATTCAGCCTTTTCAATCCTGAAAAACTGGGGTGTGTTTGGACAATGGCCATGGAGTATGGCATAGACGAGATTGGCAGGGCCTGGGAATAATAATTGCAAGTACAGAAGAATGCATTGATCAGTGGATGACCTACCGTCAGTTTATGTAGGAAAACTGTGGTAAAATGAAGTTCAGTGACGTAATTCAGGATCTCTGTACCAATTCAACTACAATTAGCATTTTTCCAAACATGAGTGCACAACAAACATGCGTGCATAGAAATATCATTGCAACACCGATACGCATGTACAGATCTAAATTATGGGTCGGGCAGAGCAATCGTTTAAGGAATGGTTTCTCATAGCTCGCTGAGAGTCTGACAACATAGATAGGTAGATAGCGTTGTAGGCATTGCAGGACTAGATACTGCTACTCCATCATAACTTCCTCTCTAAAGTGCACAACTGCATCCAATCGAGGTAAGCCAGTGTTAATTAGCATGATTATTGGCTTGTTCTTCTTAAAACGTGACAATAATTGAATGAAGTACTTTAACACAAAGTACAGAAATCGTCGCTGCGCATGGATTGCAAAGGTTACCTGAAACAAATGCAACAGGTCAAATTTTCTTTAATGATGTTCAAATTTAAAATACTTTTCTACAGAAGTTGGTGAAAATCAACAGCAAAAATTACATCTTGTACATTTTGCCATGTGCTACAAAATTGCACACGTAGACCAGGCCTGTCAATCTGTCTGTTTATCCAATACCACGTTTCCGCACAAAAAGAAAAGAGAGCAGTGATACACACAGGTTTAGTGTTTGATTCTAAAGAGTGCTATTGTTCTAGCCTTCGAACCCTCCTGTGAATATTGCCCCATGTGCAATGGAAAATGTTACATTAGCAAAGTCACTTACTAGTAAAATGTTAAACATTGTTGGCGAGCGGGAGCACCCAATTAGGGCCGACACAAAAACCGGCGTTATAAGAAAGCAATGCAAAAGAAATGGACCTTGTATGTTCTGTACTGGCACATGTAGTGCTAACCAGCAACGGTTAAGCATGTGGACAATGGGTTTAACATTCAAGTGGAAATTGAACAAGGTTTTCATTTGTACAGAAATGTCATGCACATCATGTTATAAAATTAGCCGTGCTCGAGAGAGGAGGATGTTTCTCTGTAACAGGGTTTCTAGTGCTCGTCTCCGGTGGTCAGCGACTCTCATCTGTTGTGGGCATGTGTGACGATCTTGAGATGATCGGTCTCTCTGCAGCTGCCTCAGAAGCAAGACCCTGTCTCCGGCTAGCACTTTACCTTGCCAGTCGGCGGTCCCGGGTGTCGACGGTTTCTGAAGTACGACGCCGTCTATCCCTCTCCCAGCTAATCGGCAGTCACGGGCGTCGACGGTTTCTAAAGCGGGACGCTGGCTGTCTCTCTCCTTACGCACTGAAGGATCCATGACAGTTCAAACTTTCATGCACTTTCATGCAAACGTGGAAATATTGCGTCAGGGAGCCAGCGGTTATTTAGAGTCACGTAAAACATTACGGTATGTGTCGTATTGCCGGATAGAAAGACAAACCGTCCCGTTGCAACGACTAAGTTGGCTCGATCCTGCTGGCTAATCGTAGCCCTATAAACCTATGATACTACAATTCCAATCACTGTGCAATTAAACATACTTGCTTCTAAAACAGCGGATAAACAACTCACTTCTCAGCAGCACGAAGCCTTTCTTTATCCTTGGAAACCATTGCTATACTCCAGTCAACACATCGAGCAAATCCTTCTCGCAGCAGTCTCTCCGCAATGTTCCCCATCTAAACACAAAAGATATCGACATTATTCTTCAGTATTAGTCTGACATAAAATGTATTAAAATTTTAATCGCAGTCAATTGTCACCTGCTTCTCATGTTCCACAAAGGAACTCATTATTTTCGCAAAGCATACACGTTTCATGGAAAGGTGAAAACCATACAAATTTTTCAAATGACCATTGTTTCTAAGAGGCTTCATGACAATAAGCATGCTTCCATGTTACAAATTGTAGCTTTGTTCTCATTCACATTTTTCAATGCGACTGGAAAGTTATACATCTGAGTGTATTGGTACAAAAGTGAGTGAACATGTGCAATGAAAGACTTGAGCACACAGGGGCCAACTATACATTTTCCTATACAGCATTTGAAGTGTACACTTCTGCCTGTGAATCATTCATATCCGCCACCTTTCCTGTCAAATGTAGGGGAACGGTATAATACTAAAAATGAGGCACAAAGAATAAATACATTATATATCCATGAAAGGTAACTTAAGATGAAAAGCACTGAAGTGCAAACCTTGGTGAAAGCAACAGGCACTTGTAGTCTGAAGCCTTACAACATTAAACGTAAAGTACTACCACAAATCCAGTAGATATGCAAGTTGCACTGTATCAGTTATGATAACATAGACAATTAGTGGTTAGGACCACACACTTAGGAAAATAGAGAACAGTTAGGAAATAGAGAACAGTTGGGAAAAGGACTACAAAACCAGTTAAAGTATTGTCTTTGCTCGTACCCTACGGAAATTTTGGGCTTAAGGAAAGTTCTCGAAGCTCATGTAACACTCGCGCTGCATGCTTCTGCTACTTGACCTTTCCCCAAAGAGCACTCGCGGCGGTACTTTCACTATTACGTGTAGCATTGTTGTGCACAACTAACACAGAAGAAGGCACGTAATGCAATAGAACATGACTACGCAATGCGTGCCTTACTTCTATTTACTTTTCTGCTCCTACAAAAATGATGGGACTTAAAATCATGAATATAACGAAACAAAGCCTAAAAGTCTTAAAACATAATTTTTCTTGCAGAGTAGGCTAAAAAAACGGGTAAGGTATCACCTTAAGTATATACTGGCTGAGGCTGTAGAGTAGTCACCAAGACAATTATCCATTATACATAATGACAAAACCCTCTACACCTTTATCAATCATCAGTGGTTCCTAGCCCCACCTCTTTCAAAGGGGGCAAGTGGTCATTACACACCAAATATGCACAAAGCCACATGACACCATCCCTATATCTTTGTCTCATATTAAACTTTGCTTATGAACAATAAAACAAAGATATAGGGATGGTGTCATGTGGCTTTGTGCATATTTGGTGTGTAATGACCCCTTGTTTCTTCCTTTTTGGTGCTTCAAGTCATCCCTATATTCTACTTTCATTTTGAAGAAATGATTTTTCCACTTGTAATATTTATACGCTGAATGAACATGTGCATGGTAGACTAAAGGAGGGGAAAGAGACATATGCATTCTTTCTAGACGTACAGAAGGCATACGATAGTGTGTGGTGTAACGGCCTGTGGTTAAAGTTGTGGGAATTTGGGGTAAGACGGAAGATGTGGAGGGTCATAAAGAGGATGTATATACGAGTCTTCAAAGAGTGCTGTATTGTTGGATGGGGAATGGCCAGAGGCATTTGATTTGGAGCAAGGGGTAGCTCAGGGATGTAGCTTATCTCCCATTTTGTTTCCCGTGTTTATCAAAGGGTTGTTGAGGGAGGTAGACGAAGCTGAGATTGGGATTGATTTAAGTAGATGTGGGAGACTTCGAGGACTTTTGTTTGCAGATGACTTTGTTGGTGTTAGTGAGTCTAAGGATCAGTTACAGACGCTTATAGATGTGGTGCATGCTTACTGTCGGAAATGAAGACTAAATGCTAATGTCAGTAAGTGTGCAGTGATGGTGTTCTCTGGGAGTTAGTCGATGGTGCTTGGAAATAGGGGGAGCATGTTATGCCTAGAGTATACACATACTTGGGTGTTGACTTTACTAATACTGGTGCACGGGATGTACATATAAAGAATGTGTTAGAGTTTGTGATGCTGGGAGGAGCTAAGCTCATTCTTGGGTGTTCGTCCAAGACATGTAATGAAGCCGTTAGGGGGGATATGGGGCTTGATACGTTACAAGGGTGTAGGGATAAGTTGAAGTGGTGATATAAGTTAGCGGCAATGCCAGGCAATAGGTATCCAAAGAAGCTTTTTAATCAGGAATGGAATTTTAAGCCACGGAGAGGCAGGCAGAGGAAATACGGGAGTAGGGTCATTGATGATCTCTTATCGTCATTAGGTCTTGACAAGGCAGATTGGTTGCATGATATTCAACATGGGGATTGCTCTTTGAAGGGCTTACTGTCTATAGTAGGGGACAGTAATAATGAGAGGGAGATTAGGAGGTTTGAAGAGAGGTTAAATAGCAAAGTAAAGCTGTTATTGTATAAGATATTTAACAAGGTGGTAGAGTTCAAAAAGTACTTGCATGGGAAAAGCTGCAGGGTGGAAGGGGTGAGTTGAGGTGTCTGGGAGGTGAGACAGACACCTCATGTTCATACGGTGTATGATCGTTTGTTAACGGTTCCGCCCGTTGCTCTGGGTGCGTGGTCTATGGCCCTAGTGCATAGGTCATGCATGGGGAAAATGATGCTGGGTCTAGATTAATGTTTAAGTTCAGGTCAGGCACGCATGGGCGAGATGGGTAGGCAGAGGGGATGAAGGAATGCCTATTGTGTGATGATGAGTGTGTGTTGTGGGTGTGTCCAGCATATAGTAGTCATAGGAGCAATTTCTTAGTTGCCCTGCAGGGGGGTGCTTGGGGATGATGGGTTTGAGCATTTCCAGTCGCAGGAAAGCATCCTTTATTTTGGGTAGTGAGCTGTGGGAGGATAAATTTGGTTCTTTGCTTGGCCTTGTTCAAGGTTTTATTTTGGATGTTTGGGAGCTAAGAAAGGTTAGGTTATACGATAATCCCAGCGTACACAACCCCAGTCTCAGATTGTGTCTGGGGATCTGCAGGGTGTCGCTGGTGGAAGGGGCGAGTTGAGGTTGATGTTCGTTTGTTAACGGTTTCGCCCATTGCTCTGGGTGCGTGGTCTATGGCTCTAGTGCTATGGCAGCCACCTGAGTATTATTAGTAAGAGATAATGTGCGTTTAGAGTTCCATACGTGATTTATGGGAACGAGGGGTGTGGCCGAGAGACACATACAGCACGAGGCGCTGCCGAGTGCTGTATGGGTCTCAAGACCACAACCCGAGGTCATGTATAGAACGATAGGACGCACATTATGTGTCTTTGTAGCAGTCGTCGACCTCCAGCGAGAGAAATACGACTGTGTAGCCTACTACCCTATGCGCACGTGCGCACTCGCTGGCTTCTCGAGCGAGTTCTCTGTTCTCGAGGCTATCGTAATCGAACAAGGTCGTGATGGTGGCTCTTTCTCCCTCAGAGAAACTCGTTTCATAGGTCGCTGGGGCGTTTGACCGGTCGTGTGCCGCGGCCGCGGTCTGGCTTGCCACTGGGAGCTGAATGAAGGGGTGTGGTCACTTCAGCTATCCCTCGCCTCTACAGCCTCTACAGAACAGTCATCGCTTGCCTCTAAAGTCTCTACAGAACAATTTTTGTCCACACTATGGGTACGATGCTGATGCTAGTTCAATAACTTTTTCATTGAACGTTCAACATTAGTTATAATATTGAACGCATACTACAATACGGGAAATAAAAGTATGCGCGGCTCCTTTGATCCGCACACGCAAGTCAAAACAATAATTATATTATTGTTGCTTTTAACGCCATAACTTTAGAGCGCAGGAGTTTCATGAAAATCGTCTTTTTTTTCTAATCAAGCCAGTGTAGGACTGAACCCGTTTCTATCGCTCTTTCGCCGATTACTTGCGCGTCGTGACAGAAAACGTGGTAACAGACAGTCAGACAAACAGACAGACGGACACACTCACGAACAGAAGTACTGTAACCCGGGCATTACCAACGAAAAACCACGCGGTGGTTGTGATAAGAGTGTCAGCATGTTCAAATCTTGTTCATTAACCATGCTTCATCTATCCCATCCCTATCTTGTCTCCCTTTCTTTTTATACCATCCCCTGTTATACGTTATAAATAATAGTTCGACAGCGGGTCTGTGAGTGAAATCTACGCACGTTAGAAGCCCAGCCTACCCATTTTAGTACGTATTCCAATTGACGCGCACTTGCCTTTCCGCATGCGCGGGTTGGCGCCTCGGGCACTTAATAATCACGTTTTCCCGAGTGAGTGCGCACTAAAAAGAAAGGGAGACAAGATAGGGATGGGATACATGAAGCTGACACCCCCGACCCCATCACACAATCCCCATATTGTTGCCTAGGTGAAGTATCAAATACTAGCCTCAAAATACAAAAAAATCACGCTACTTAGCAACCAACACCATTAGAGAGAGTTTAAGAGTGGCACACCAGGCAATAATAGGTATACAGGGATGGGTATGGTACCTAGCATCATAGATGTATGGGGCGATGAATTGTTGTGATTTTTATGTTGGCTATTGCATTTATGCAGTAAAATCTGCTTTATAGGGTCACCGGTTAACTGGAGCAGCCACTTTACTGGTCCATGTTTGGATTCACGGAATCACTCCCACAGTAGTGCTTGTACGGTTATTTGGGCCAGGATTCCTGTTCTTATTGAGTCCAAAATCTACGTATAGCGTCATGGGCGACGTCGTGAGCAGTCTACAATGGCGATCCACGCGAAGAGACATGACTTGTCATTGGCCGAGAAAGTCGACTTTTTAGACAAAATAAATTGCAACTACGAGGAACGAGTCACCGCCGGTTGCCTGAGATCTTTGGAGTCCCTTAGTCAACCATAGGTAGACTTGTTCGCAACGAAAGTGACCTGCATAAGCAGCTGCTAGAAATACACACCCAGCGAATCAAGTTGTCGAGAAAGTGGAAGAGAAGCGGTAAAGATGCTGAAGTGGAAGAAGCACTAAACCAGTGGCTAAGGCTTATCTTGGCTAGAGGCGTGAGAATCAGTGGGCCCATGTTGAAGGCGAAGGCTGAAGAGTTCACACGGAGATGACTTTGTTGCAACTTATGACTTGCTCTCACGCTGGAAAGCCAGACACGGCATCAAGTTTAAGCGAGCACATGGCGACTGCTGGAGCAGAAGACTGGACAGCATCGAGCTCCTCGGTGAGTACAACCATGCCGATATCGGATGAAACAGGTTTGTACTACCATGCAACGCCGGATGGTTCTCAGTGCTATGCCAACGAGCAGCTGAGCGGTTCTGAGAAGGCTACTCTGAAAGATATGTATGGTACCAAACCTCATGAATAATTATTAATGAGGAATTAAAATGAAACGGACAAAAGTGCAAACCCTCGGCGAACTGCTCACGCGCGTTACCGCTGATGGGCTGGGCTATGAGTACGCATTCACTTGTGGCGTTTCCCGCTAGTAGCTTGTGGAGAGTCTAACGCGGGCTGCTACATTGATACGTACACGACCTTCATTGTGATTACTTGTGCCTTCAAGATACACAGAGAGAGCGAACCTGCTCGAGGTAAGCCTGTTAGGCTTTTTCGCTCAAGTTTCATGCCGTACGCAGCAGTTTCTGATAAACCCTACATACGTTTCGACCGATGCTGAATACCTGCTATTGTTTGTGGAGCGATTCATGACTCGTGAAGTGAGATGTTGGGTAACAGACAGACAGACAGACACACACAACAACTACAGCAACTCTCGCTGCGCATGCGCGCCTAGTGTTAATAATACCTTTTCTTCTTCCTCGGTATAGTAGAAATCAACCCATAACCCTTAAAATGCAAAGTAATCGTATTCTTAATAAACTATGACTCATAACTAAAACCGGATCGCTAGGCCAGTAAGGACACAACAAATGTTCCTCCAGCATACATGAAAAACGGAACTCCGATAAGTGCAAATATTCCTTCGCCTGATTATTAACCCTTACCCTATTTCCAGTCACTTTCTCTTGCTCTTGGCATAGAGCTATGAATGGAATCTTGGATATACTGAGTTTCAAGTCGCAGCCTAGACTTGTCTCACCTGCAGAGCCCGCTGAGCGCCAGAAGTCTAATGACGACTCGCACAACAAGGTTGCTGTTTAACTTGGAAAACCCACATCATTTCTGGCACATGTCTGAGACCAACAAGTGGCGCCACAACCACTAACTCATCCTCAAACTCAATTCTACTCAACACAAACTTTCTGATAAGCTAAAAAACCCTGCACAGGACCTACAACAACCAGTAAGAGTTATGTGTACAGTGCACGGGATGTATCCAGAGCGAACACAGCCAGATTAAGTACACTGTGCCAATAAGTCTGACAAAAGAGATGAATCCCTCTTCCATTTGATCCAGCATATATGAGTCAAGTATATTCTGGGACAGTGAGGAAGACACCTGTAACTACCTGCACGATGCAAGCTTTTGGTTCTACACAGAAAACTATGTAGAAAACATTCACTAACATTTCGGCAATGTCAAAGGTAGCATAGTAACGTTGTAAAAACAGGAGAAATTGACCACAGGCTATAGCTACCTCCTCCTCACTTACACCCACATTGGGCTGCCTCACACACAATGTCAAGGGAAAACACACTACTAAGCCCAGAGGTGTTGCTACACACACAGGTACACAGTAAGATGGCGTCTTAGCTTTTTACCTTATATCATACCAACGTGGAAAAAACACGAATTCCACGCAGCGGTCTTCGTTCACAGGACTTACATACGCAAGAGCTAACAACCCAATGGAACATGCGTACTGTGGGGTAATAAACACCGCGAGATAGTACGCTTCTCTTGTTAAAATACAGAACTGCACAATTAAGCAGACACAGGGCACTTTCAGGAATGCAGTTATACTTCATCCCTGTCACTCCTAATCAATACAAGCACTATTTATAAAATAAATCTGTTAAAAACTTACAGGATGAATGATAGAAGCAATGACTAGTTGATAAGAGACCCCCTCTATCAACAACTTCACATCCTGCTGCAGTAATCGAGACTCGGTGAAAAATCTAGCCATTTCTGCAAAAGGCTCAGCCCCCTCATCTGACATTTCACGTTTTTCTTTACCCAATTCACCCTTCTCTCGTTCTCGTTGACTATCACGCTTATCTTTGTCTCCATCTCGCTTGAACATGGGGGACTGACCACAAAACACAAAACACAGAAAATTCACATAAAAATTATACTTAAAAGTTGGCAACGGCATAAGCAAAGAACAAACAAGCTACAGGAAGAAAAATCTCCCTCTGGCACTTAGAGTTAGAACATCACAATGGCCTATCAACCTTAAAAAGGCAAGGATTTCCTACTTATCCCTTCAAGGTCCACGTATGGGGAACAAAACAACAAAAGTAATTGTATACCTCAGACACTTTCAGATAACTACACCTTGATTCCAGATATGGCGACCATAATATGTACAAAGGAAGGAATGACAAGAGCTTTCAATGTTGAGCCATCTCGTACATACTCCACAATTGCTGCAATTAATCAAGATGACAGTTATATAGCAAACCAGGGATAACAGAGCATGGGGATAGGAAAAATGCGTACTCCACCCTATACAATCTGTGGCTTGTTGGCATTTCTTTAGAAAAGTGTTTCACATGTGCCAATTGATTGAAAATTACTAAAGTGCAAACCCTCTACAAAATAAAATAGAAACATGCGCACATAAGCTTGCACCCAAATGCATATGCAGGTCTGAACCGCTGATTGTTGGGCTGGACTAAACTACCATGGTCTCTCGCAAGAGCTTTATGAGAGTTCGACACTGGCGAGCCAGATGACAAGTAATTCGCACTTAGTCTTGATATACGCCCTCTGTTATATTATCTGATATCTCCACAGTACGAAAACCGGCAGAAAGTGGTCAAGGTAAGCAACTGGTGATTTGAACATTGGTTTGTTTAATTTGTTTCAATGCCAGAACTTTTGATCGCAGCGTTTTCAAGAAACTCACCAAATTTAAAATCAAGCGAGTGTAGCACTAAAACTGTTAATAAACCTTTTGACTGGCTTGTTACACGGGGTGGCAGAAAACGAGGTAACAGACAGACATACATACACACAATCTTACACACCATGTATCGTATCCCTCGCTGAGCATGTGCGCTGAAGGTTAATCAGTCTTATACCTATAGCATATATAGCTACTTTGTACGTAGAATTCAGCAATAGCAGCAATTGCCTCAATGAGTAAATATTACAGCCTGACCAAGTGAGTTCTTAAACGCGATTGGCAAATCAGAGGCAAAATAACAACCACAGGCAATACATTATAATGGGAGCACATGTGTCAGTGTAACATACGTACAAATGGTAAGAGCTATGGAAACGAAACTCTGTATACATATCCAATCACCAACAACAAATCAATACATTTTTTAAACAACAACAAATAGCCTCACAGTAAGATGGCCTGTAAAGTTACTTCACTCACTCTTCTCACCTGCAAATGGCACCACGCATTGAGATAAACTTGGTATGCATGCATAAAACATCATTTCCGTGACAACTACATGTTTGTAAAAAAAAACAAATACCCTCAGGCAATATTCATCTTCACTTCTCAAACTAGCTAACGGTAGAACGCATGGAGATTTAATATGTTACACATGCATGGAGATGAAACGTGGTACGAATGAATGTTACATTGTTTCCATGACAACTACGTATTGCTTGGTACGACAACAAATAGCCTGAGGCACTTTTCTACAAAATTATTTCGCCACTCCTCAAACTTGCTGGCAGTGAGAAAAAACTTGGTACACATGCATATTACATCATTTCCAAGCCAACAACATTTTGTTTGAACAACAAATCAGGCATTTAATTATTCACTCCTGTACACATGGAGATGAAACTTGGTACGCATGTGTATTACATCATTTCCATGACGACAACAGGTTTGTAAGGAATTTTCTGTATTATTCGGGGTTCACATATACATGTAACAGTGAGTGGAGAAAATGTACATTTAAAAATTCTGCGAATTTAAAAAAGAGGCATAATAGTGATGGAAAGGGAGACAATATAGGGGATAGGGATAGGATACACGAAGCATAGTTAATGAACAGATTTGAACCCCATCACACAATCCCTATGTTTTTTCATACGTAGGTGAAGTATGAAACTTTCACTATTATTCAAGGGTTATAGGTTAAAATGTCATGATACTGAGTAACCATGAGTACAAATGGAGTTTAGGAGTGGTACACCAGGCAGTAGGGACTGTATAACCGGGTCGGTAGGTGTCAGCATGCTAGAATCTGTTTATTACCATGCTTCGTGCATCCCATTCCTATCTTTTCTCAGAGGGTGACAAAAAGTGATATGTACAATATGCGTCACTATTGGTAACATTGTTGTGGTGTAAATCCGGACCAAAATGCAACTGACTGAACCACAAATTTAGCGCATAGAACTAAGGCAAAGATGTAGGTTCAACTACTACCTCTTTCATACGGAGGGTGCTACCGAAACAGCTGTCCAGAGCTCTTCATCTTTTTTCTCTTGGCATCAAATGGTCTAATACCTTCATGTGCATACTGCGCAGAGGTGCAGCACTATAGTACCCGTGAAAAATGTTTTCACTAATTCTGAGCGTATAGATCTCTAGGGCAGAACGTGTAGGTAAAACTATTTGATAAAATATTAAACGCATGTATGGCTCTGTAGCACAAGGTGAGGTCCTTTTGTACCCCTAAAACAAAGGGTGTCGTAGTTAGTGAAGAATTATTGCCACCCGTAATTAAGCTGAAATTTCTTCCTCTTTCATTTCTGCAACACAAACGATGTACAATGTGTGGTACAGAGGCTAAAGATGCACCAGGAGTTCTACAGCTAGAACAGGAACTTTTTCAAAAGGCACTGTATTTCTTGAGTGCTGTGAATTCGTACCTCAGTTAGGAAAATGCGAGTGCTACATACATAATGGTTAGACAGCGAATCCGTGAGATTTCAACGTACGAGATGCCCAACTATTTCAGTACGCATTCCAATTGACGTGCACTTGGTTTTCCATGTGCGCAGGTTCGCGGGGAAATGGTGCCGCGGGCACTTAGTAAACACGATGCGAGTTACTACGAGATTTAGTGTACTTAATACACGTTTTTGGCTGAGATCACATGCAGCACTAAAATGCTTAGAGTAATCTATTCAGTCATTATATGGTTGCAATTAGTGCACTCGGACGGAGTGATGACACTCGAGGTTACGAAATGCACGAGCCAATCCTCGCGCACTAAGACTAAACCGCAAAATGCACTGCATAACAAGTTTTAAAGAAGCGTGCCGATGACAAAATTAATGTGGCTGAAGGTCACATGACCAGCCTTACTGCATTCTTAATGCATGACCACCTTCTAATGTTGTTCTATTGTCTCTCTCCTGAGAAAAAAGACAAAACTGTGAAAAATTTCCAGCGTAACTAACTTTACCAGCTTTTTTATATCCCGTTCCCCGAATTTACAGGCCCGTACGCGAAAAACAATTTCATGGCTAAACGTCTGGTTTACGCATACACAGTCACATATGTGATTTTCAACTACTGATTTGAATACTATGCACACAGAACAGACAAAACTAGGAAAGGTGGGGCAAGATTAATGAAAGAAATTTAAGGCAGTCCGTCAGGCGATGGTGCGAGGGAAGGAGTCTGACGAAGCCACACGGTGGCATTCCCACGCCAGAGAGCAATGGCGAGACAACGAAACAGGTGTTTAGTAGAGTGCGAAGGGTCTACAGAATTAACTTTTTGCCCGAGGAAGTCTCCTATTCTTCTGATATGGAGCCAGGAGCCCAGCCCTCAAGCGCCTCGACCAACAAGGCACACATTCGACGCCAGCATCACGACATGAAGGGAGATTTGCGGAGAGTTAATCTGACGCATACGTTACCAGGGGTAACGGCGGCTTCAGATACAGTCTGCTGCAGCAAGGGTGTTATGACTGCTACGTCCATGGCTGCTTGTTGGCCACAGCACCAATTAGGCAAAAGAATGTCAGCTTGGAGAGCACTACAATTGGGAACCACCCCGGGAGCCTCCTTTCTTTGCCCAAGGGCAGCTGTTTGGGCTGCCAGAGACAAGTGAGGTGAAGGGCCAGGCGGGTGCCCCAAAATCCTCTCTACCAAGGGCCATGTGCGCTGATTAGACCCAACGAAGGCAGCCGGGGAGTGAGCACTTCACAGATTGAACCGCGGTTGCTAAGCAGTGAAGCCTTTAGTCAAGACCAGTGGGAGATGGGTCCACCAATGATAAGTTCTAAACACTCACGTACAGCTTGGTCAAACCCACTCGAGGCATGACAGGGGGACATGTTCAAAGGGTGAAGGAAAGCTTGGGAAGAGACAGAGAGGATCGGAGCAATGTTGTCTCCAGCTGAGAATCACCCAGATCCTCCAGTCGACAGCCTTGATCTTCTCAACCTGGTGCAGAAGTGATGCTTCGCAGAAAGAAGGTGGACCAATAGGACCTCCCAGGAGAGTAAAACCTTGGCGAGTAATAGGGATTTCAGAAGGTAGAGAAGATACTGCACAGTCTTCATCCTGTGGGATGAAGAGTAGAGATATGGATCGGTTAAGGTAGAGACGTAGCGCAGGACCTTCTGCTTCAACGATGTTCAGGGCAGCTGCGAGATCTTCAGGAGACCCCATAAGTGTCCCGTCATTGAGGAACCATGAATTGATTGTGAGGTTGGGGACCTCAGCCTTGATTCGCTCCACCATAGACTGGAGGGTGATAGAGGGCCGATGGGGGTCCCCCGGCTGCACTCCACAAAAGCTACGAATTGAGTTGGCCCCAGATGAAATAAGGGTTGGGTAGAGTAACAAGCCTCCACCCACATAGCAACACCGGGAACACGTTGGCGTGAAGCGGTTGGAGTGGACATAGGTGTGGTCGAAGGGGCGCGATTCTGTCATCAGTCATTAACGCCGGGTAAACACCCTGATCACGGCTACTCACACAAGCACATTGTATGCATAAGTTCTATTGCAACGGCAACATCGACTGGGGTTGGCTGGAGAAGGAGAAGGCGGCATCGTGTTCCACGCTGCACGCAGCGGTGTGATAGGCTTTGAGAAAACGGCCATTATTGCACTAGTACGGCAAAAATTTTTGCAGGAGAACTACGCATCTAACAACCCATTGCACCTTGTTTCAGGAGGGTAGTATCGTTCCATTACAGAGTTATGAGCAAAACATGAAGTGCCATTCCGCAACGTAAATCGTCAAAATTACGTGTGAAGCGTAACTTGCATTTTTGTACAAGCCCGTACAAGTCCGTGTAACAACATTACTTCATACTCGTAGTTGTACTTTGGATCGTAGTATAGTGCCACTGTGGCACTCATTCTCTGCCCCGGTGGAGGAAGAAACCGGTGCCTGGGTCACTTCTATGCAAGCTGTTACACCTGGAAGAATGTGTATGTAATGTATAGACAGTGCGAATAGCATAAGGCGATGTGTACTGCTTAGTTGGCCCAGTATAGTTTGTTGTCGTGCTGACATGAGCATGGAGGATTAACCCTAGGCA